TTCAACCCATTTACCATTAGATCTACCACTTTATGCTGTTTTAAAACTTTTAAGCCTTTCGCTGATAATGTAGATGCATCTTTCAACCGTACATGTCTATGGATAATAAAAAATAGTGAATACTTCATTTTTTATGTAGATTTTACATTTCAATCAAATTTGCATACTTAAAATGAGATATGAGTACCTTAACCTTGTGGACTTTGCGTTGAAAAGTGTAATTGTTAAATCAGATAATGTCTTTTTCTCACAAAGGTGAGCCAATAATTGTTCTGATACTTCAGCAGGTAAAAAAGCATCTGGATGTCTAAAACTAAGTCTTGTAGCTGAACTTGATGATCCATCGTTAGATGCTTTACCTATTGCATTTAAAATATCTGTATTATTACAATCTATTAAAAGTTAACTAACTGATTTAAGACCTTATAACAAATTTTTGCATTAAAATAGCTTCCTCTAACTCTAATGAAATATCTAAATACATTTTAAAATGAAGTAAAATATGAATAAAATATAAGATAATTGAAAAAATATTTTCTTAAATAATTATGATGAATACTTACTACATGTGTTTGTATCCAGTGAATTAGGGGAATGTTCTTCCGTATCACCTAGGTGTACGTCACACAAATCCAAGACATTGTTACAAATAAAATCTATGCAAACCTCAAGGAGGCTCTTCGGTGACTCAAACATTTTACTTTCTTGTTTACACACAAATATTCTTCCTTTATTTCCTCTATAGCTTTTTAAATAATTGATTATTTCAAATAGTTTAACATCTCATTCTTTCATATTTATTTTAAAGAATCTGTTAACATAGAACACACATATATACATGTATATACATCTGATGCACTATGTTTAGAATGTAAGTTTTCTAATATTAAACATACACTATAAAATGAAATACACTAAGTTTATGAAAATCGATACACCTGTCATCCGAAAAAAATTAGATCACATGCAATTTAACTTTCTTATGATAACAAAATATTAAAAAACATTCTACATCTGTAGAAAATGTACACTTAAAAAATGAGATACAATTGTATACGCGACGATTTTTAAAGGAAACGTCGAGAAAAAACCACACACATAATTTTATTCCTAACATACAGGTGACAGAATTTTAAATAATGATTACATAATGACAAGTCCATCGAATGGAATAAATATTTATTTCTAACCAGTTTGTGTAATCTAAGCACGTTGTGTATAACACGTAGCGAAAGAAACTTATTATGAAATTAACAAGTTATTTATTAGATACACTAAACTTTATTTCGCGAGTAGAATATTCTTAAAAAATTATTAAATGATTATGTAAACTTATTTATGCAAATAGCACTGAACGCAATTGTGAAAACAACTGCAGAAAATTGTAGTCTCTCACCTGTGAAGAGGACGCCATATTGACTTGCTAAGTGTCAAAACAGATTAAAAAATACGATATAGATACATATTGTTAAATATGTGAACATGATTATTAAGTACAATAATACAATCAGAAAAGTATATTGTCTACTATAATTTTTTTGTTTGGTTTAATTTCTAAAATCGTTTTATGTTGATTCATGATGATTTTAAACATACATACCTCAGAATTAGAAAAAACTGACATATTTGTTATCCTTATCAAAAAAATTTATTTTGTGAAGAGTATTTGTAGGTAAAAATTAGAGAACATTCCTTAATAGTTATACAAATCTTTTCATTCTTGAAGACATAATAGAAGATAAATATTACTTGTAAGGGAATTCATCGGTTATTGACACACTATCAATATGGCGGTAAAGTGGAAAACGATGTGCTTTTCAGTATGTATTACGATTTCACTTCTGTATAATATACATAAGAATTTTTTCTAGGTACGATTATAATGTCTATATAAGGATTGTTTAAAAGTATTTGTTTATAGTGAACTTAATGATTATTTTATATTATAGAATGATAAATATTCTATCCTAAAATTAAATGAATAATGAATATGTCAAAGAAACTGATTTAAAAGTTTTCAATTTTAAGAGTTGTAATGCATCTAATTATTTAATCATTTTTTTACTCTGCATTATATTAGATTTTTCACATATATAAGTATGGATATAAATATGAATTATTAAATATCTCATAGAAATGGCGATATATAGTTTGTAACTGTGATATAAATTTCTTTGTTTTTAAGGTTTAGATAGGAACGTGTTTTCCAAAATAAAATCATGGTTTAAGTGCCCACTGATATGTGTCAGTCATTTTATAACGTCATGTTGTATGTTATGTGGCATTGATCATTTTGCTTGCATTTAAATTTTATTTCATAAAAGAATGCCAAGTTTGCGAAAAAAGGTTGCTGGTTTCATGCGACAACTATCTATTAGCAATTTGGCTGGAGCTGTCGAAAATTTAAGTCAGGGAGAACAGACTTTACGTAGTCCTAGATCATTAACGCAAGATTTTACAAGTGGTTGTTTTATTACACGGTATCTTGATGGGTAATAATCTTTTTGCAATGTGCATATGTATAATTTTTATTTATTAATATCTTAAATAAGGGTTGACATATGTTGATATATATATATATTTTCAGTTTGGAAACAAAACAGGAAGGGCCAGCAATTTTGCATGGCAGAAATCCAGAGGAACTTCCAATTAGGCAGCTTGGAAATTTTCAGCAAGATAGAGATGTAGTTTCCGCTCATACAGGTCCAGATAATGGACTTACAACTGTTAATGTACAACAAAGACATTTAAGTATTAATGATATTGATATAGATTACATTGATATGTTAGATCAAGGAGAACAGTATAGAAATAGTATGTATTGAAGGCATTATAAAGTTATGAAATAATAGCAAGATACGTTAACAATATTATTTTCTCTAGCATCAACAACAACAACTCCTACAATTGCTGGTATTACTGATTGGTTTAATCCTCATGAAATGGCTTATGGAATTGCTACTACATTATATGAGAAAAATCCTACAAATAATACAAATAATGGTGAACCAATAGCAGATTGTTTTGGTATTGTAGCAAGATCGAATTCAGCTATTTTAGCACTTGCTGATGGTGTTAATTGGGGTATGATTATAGATGATAGTAGACTATCTTAGATAAGATTATATAAAGATATGGCAATATATGCATATACATATATATACGTGTTTTATAATGAAATAAAATTATTAGGTACCAAAGCAAGTATTGCAGCAAGGTCTGCAGTACATGGAAGTATAGAATACTTAAATAAAGCACTTTTTTGTCCTTCGATTAATGGAGAAATGACTACAACAAAAGACGTTTTTATAGCACTACTTCGTTCATTCCATGCTGCACATTCGTTAATTTTGCAGGAACAAGGAATGCTTACAACATTAACTGTGTGTGCAGTTCTGCCACTGCCAAATTCTGATTCTAATACAGAAAAAAATAAATATATGGCATGTACCTGTAATGTTGGTGACAGTTTAGCTTATGTGTATTCAAGGTAATACATAAACAAGAACTTATAAATTATCCCTACTGATACTAAGTAGAATATTGTTTAAGATAAAAACAATATTTCATATTGACAGAAAAACTGGTGTAAGAGAAATAACAAGAGGATCCCATGATATTCACTGTATGCGTGACATGCGTGATGCCCTTGGAGCTTTAGGCCCTGTGGATGGATCTAATCCTGAGTTGAATAATTTGACTCTTGCAATGACCGAAGTTGAGAAAGGAGATATTGTATTTTTGACTAGTGATGGAATTTCGGATAATTTTGATCCTGTAGTCGGAAAATTTGCTATTTTACCATGTCACAATTCCGTACCTGATTCAAATGTAAAAAATCACACTGAAGGAAGATCAAAAACACGTCGAAAGTCTGCAGAAAACTTGAGACATACAGAATCCGGCAATAGTAATAGAAATAAATCTAACTTGCCTGTAGTTGAGGCATATCAAAGACACGAGCTCACATTGCTTAGAATGGAAGATTTGTTAAGAAGGGGTGTATCTGGAGAAGGACCACCATGTAATAGTGCCAAACATCTCTGCGAACTCCTCTTAGATTTTGCAGTAAGTTATTTACCATTTAATAGTAATGAATGCAATACAATATGTATGTACTGTAAGTTCTTTTAATCTTTTTATAAAAGAATAAGGCGTAATGTTAATTTTAATACTAACATTTAATTTTTATACATAATAAGGTACGCATAACTGCCGCTAAAAGACGAATATTGGAAGATACAGATTTATATTATGCACAAAATAAAGATGGCCAATTAATTCAGCTTTCCAAACAAGAACAGAGAACTCGACGAATAAAAACTTTGGATAAGGTTTCCATGATCCCTGGGAAATTAGATCATGCTACAGTTGTAGCATATGTAGTTGGATCTATCAATTCAGAATATGGTTTATAATTAATTACAATAACAAATTACAGTTTCAATTTGTAAGAAAATTAATAAATTTTAGAATTTTCTTCAACAGTGACATTTTATGAATGAATTGAGTTGAAATTAATGTTTTATTGTGAGATTAAGTTGTTTATATAATTTTTTGTTATTTAAAATAAAAACATACATTTAAAGATAAGCATGTAGCAATACTTATTTCATTATAAATTTAATTTATAGATGTATGCAAGTAAAATATACATATATATATTTATGTATTACATTACGTTATGTATATACATAATGTAAATGCGTTGGCAAATAATTTCAAAAATCACTTATTCATAATAATAATTGTCGAGTTTACTAAGTACTTATGATATAATTGAATAAAAATGTTTAGCGAATCTGTATTGTTTAAAATCTTGAAAAAGCTATCATATTAAGATCATCAACACTTTCTATTTACTGATTGGTCATAAGTAAAATATTGGCCAATCAGGATAAAGATTTTGCTAAATGGGTGCTGCAAAAAGTTACAGTACCATAACCGAGGTGTCGCCAATGGTAAAAGCTCTGGGATTTTATAGACTTGTGCTAATGGCAGCCTTGACAAATACATGATGGCCGTTGCCACCGAATAGTGTAACGCGTACATGAAACTGTCGTGTACCAGAGAAGTTTATTATTTTAAGTAGAATTTTTCCTCTTATGTACCTAATCTATATTGTTTCTGTTTGTAAAAGAATAAAATTTTGTGCCCAGAACTAAAATCATGCAAAAAGAAGTGTGAAAAAACGTAAAATCGCGAGAAGAAAACACGGGTGGCAAAACCGCGTTCGCGGAGGTAATATTGACAATTTTTCATCACGACGCTATTCGCATTTTTCCGCGTCAATATGAAATAGTTGTATCCAGGATACCTTCTTTGGGTTTCTCAGCTATTCGAACCGAAAAATTTTTCACAGATGGTTGCTTTTTCTTTTGTTTACGCCTTGTCAGTTGGGCTTTTGTTGTGTGCATCCGCGCGCCGCTGGTACCTATAAGTGAGAGTGAGATGTATGCGACCCTTGTATGCGTGTAAGTGGCTTGTGTGGCACGTATGCTTGCACACAGGCGCGCAAGTTATAACCTCAAAATATGCTTCCAGCTGTCGAATTTTTCTACAAAACTTTTTTTCCACTTTAAAATGGTTACTTGTACATGCAAGTGTTATTGTGTCATAAAATTGTCATGATTCCTGACATAGTGTACATGACATTATTACCCAGTAGTATTATGTATTTTGTTCTATAGTACAAGTTCTAACAAACTTAAATATTAATAGTTTAGTGCAAATTCGAAAGAAGTAACGCTATTCGAATGAAACTATAAAGTGTTATTCTATCTACAATGACTAATTGAATATTGTTTACATGTTACAGGGTGCAAATTAAATATAGAATCTGTGAAGCCATAAGTGTAGTGTATGTGACATTTTTAAACAACACCAAACTTGAAACAGTTCTGAACTATGTTTGTAGTTCAAATGTAAAATGACTTGATATTAATGCTTTAAACATTACTAAAGAATATCTATGGATTACTAAAGGATATCTATTAAATGTTATTTGATAAATTGGGATAATACAGAATATAGTATTTGTAAAGTGATAAAATTGTTTTATATGCCCAAATTCTGATGTTATGTCATGGAAAAATGTAGTTCAATTGTGTTTATACATGGATGTAATTTTGCAACAAATGTGCTTTAAAGATAAGTCAGAGTACTTTCAAAATGCAGTTGTGCAATTATTCTTTAATGGATAATGTAGTTCGAAAAAGAACTACCTACTATATACAAGAAATTAATATAAAAACATGGGTAACATTAAAGTGTGATATTAAAAACTAATATCAACAATCCATGTAAATAAACATATTTTGAAAACATAAAAGGGTATTGCCTAAACAACAGATGAAATAAGAAGTTACATGCATGACAGGAATAGGAGACGTAGGTCGCAGACGCGTTGAATGGCGCCGTAGCGCAAATACAGTCTTCTACTGTCATTGAGTTGTAATTTATGAGTGGTAAGTTCTGCAATTGGTTTACATACAACATTTATTAAAAACTTAAAATATGAAATTATGTATAATTTTATATAGCTATATATTTATATTAAATTTAGTTATTATTATCTTGATTTTAGTTAATAACTTTCATAATGTCTTACAAATATATAGGGGTATATAGAAACAAACATAGATAAGCTGAAAAGGTGGCTAGACGCTGCCCGGAGTAAAGAGGGGCTGCGTGGGCATGCAGCAGCCTCAGTCACGCCCTCTTCTCGGGGACTCAGTATCCTCTACAACCTCCCCGACTGCTCGGCGTAACAATCCTGTTGCTGTTTTGACACATCAACAAGTATGAAATTTTTAAATAAACCTTCAATGATACTCTAAAATTCATATAATACTTAGTATCATATTTTTACTGCAATTTATTTCAGTTACAACAGTTACAACAATTGCAGGCTCAAAATTCGAGTGGCCAATCATTGACATTTGCTTTGCAACAAACATCAAACAATGTAAGTAATTAAAAATATATATTTATTTGGAAAGATATATCATTAAAGTAAGTAAGTAATATTTGTTTCTATTACAAAATCTTACAGCCGCAAGACCAAGGAAATAGGTCAACGACTGGGAACCATATAGTATATGTAAACCAGTTAAACCATTTAAATCAGAGTACCATAAATCCCTCGGGGACTGGTATGGGCCTACCCCCGGCCACCCCCACTTTTGGGGTGGGCCTTAATATGGGATTGCCACTATCACTTCTAAATACTAGCCTTACATCCCTCACATCTAATGTTATCACTACATCAAATCCTCTGCTCAATTTGGGCCTGCCAAGTATAAATACAGGACTAACTACAATAAATCCTAGCCTCAATCACTTGAATACCATAAACTCAAATTTAACTTCAAATATTGGTTCAAACAGTATTAATAATGGTTTATCTGGTTTGGGACAGGATATAAATAGTATAAATACTGAAATTAATAGGCTCAATACATTAAATTCAACAAATATAAATTCTGGATTGCCCAGTGTGAATACTGGAATTACCAATGTAAATCAGAATTTGACAAGTTTAAATTCAAACATAAACCAGAATGTTACCAGTTTGAGCACAAACTTTACATCCCCAAGCTCTGGTGTATCTGGCTTAACTGCTATTACCCCAAATATAAATACAAATTTAACTACTACCAGTATAAATTCTGGTATAAATCAAGGTCTCAATCGACCTATTAATGCTTTAACAACTGGATTGACTCAAACTAGTCTAAATTCCAGCAGTACACAATTTCCATTCCAAGCCATACAAAGTATACAAAGCATTGCACCACACATCGTTGGGTCAAATATTGCACATGTACCAAGTTCTGCTATATCGCAGCACCCGAATTCAAACGTTTCTACTATTTCACAAATGTCAAATACCGGTACCTTGACAAGTTCCAGTATATTCACGAGCACTTCCAGCGAACCAATTCATTCAACCACAGCAAATGTGAATCACGCTTCAAACGTGAATCTCACTACAAATATTCCACATCTTGGTACAATGCACTCAAATTTATCTAATGTATCAACATCTAATGTGCAGCATATATCTGCATCAAACGAACCGAATATGTCACTGAGCCATACTTCTTCTTTAAGTTCTTCTCAGACAACTGGATTTCAACCTCAGCGACAGTATTCACAGGGAATTAACCCTGGTTTAAGTTCATCAGTAACATTAACGGGCTCATCTCAGCCATCAAATGTGGTCAGTACAATAAATACTGTAAAATCTATGCAGAACATTCAAAGTCAAAATATTAGTTCTCCAAGCAGTCCATTTTCAATACCATTAAAAAGTCCAGCATCTAATATTGCACCACCTACACCAAGTCCTAGTCCTAACAGACTATTACTTAGAAGTCCAGCATCAAACTCAATACAATCTAATAGAAATAGTCCAAGTCCTGTTGGAACATCGACATCAAATAATAATTTTAATATACAAATGCAAAGTCCAATGCAGAGTCCAATGAGTGTTAGCCAAATACAGAGTCCTGTACTTAGTCCATATCCTCCTGCAAAAAGTCCTCATCTGTTAAGTGGAAATAACTCTCTGAACAACAGAAGTCCAGCACCTGGTGGGAGTCCTGGTCCACCTGTGGTAAGAAGCAACTTACATTAATGTAAAATAAAAAAAAGTTGAACACAAACATTTATTTCATTTCCAGGTTAGACCCAATACACCAATACTTCAGCAAGGAATGCAAGTATTGCAAATAATTCATGGTACACCACAGGGGTATCAATCAACACCAACACAGTTGGTTACTAGGACGCATTTAATTGGAAATCAACAAATTCAAATAGCTGCGACTAAACCGGCAAAACAGCCACCACAAATTTTACCAAAACCTCCAAATCAACAAGCTGCTGGACCACAACAAAAACAACAACGTGTTAATACTACAATTACAAATCAAGTAATATATTTTGAAATGTCTATTCTATTCGAAATATCTTAGAGACATTATTTATTTCTATTAAAACATGAAATATTGAATTATTATAAGGTGACACAACAAACTCAGCCACAGTTAGTTCTTGCTGGACCACAACCAAATCCTACAACAGCTACAATGATACCAACAGCACAAGGTCTACTGTTAAATCAGGTAATAACATCTGTTTAAGATATTCATCATGTGCATGTCTCTTTGTTATGTGATCATTTAAAAGTTTACACATTGTGCCTGTTTTAGCAGTTATCAATATTATATGGAATATTTTTAATATGCTTGATATCTATTGTAAAAGCTTACATGCATTTTAGTGTCACAAATATCTGCTTTGTGCTTCATATGTTTATCACATTTCATACATAGGTTTTGCCGTCAACCGGACCCGTTATTGTACAGCAACAACCAGGTGGTGTTCAGCTCATACTAAGAACGCCAGCAAGCGCCCAGCAACAAACACATACTGCACAGGTGATGGTTTCATCCATTCAGCCATTCAACTTCATCATGTTCACAATCATTGCTTACTTAATACTTTATGAATTTATTTTTATATGTCATTTTAAATATTACTTAAGTTCATCAACGTTTTTACATGCTATATCAACAGTTGGATCTTATATGTGTTTTGTGTTTTATATTTAGCATTTTTGCAAGTTTCAGATAAGTTACTTTAGTGTAAATAATATTATAATATTGAAAAATATATTAGGATAATAACATGAACAAAATTAGGAAGACAATTTTTTTTTTGTTAATATAGTGGAAGAAATATATTCTTGTATAAATCTGTTTCTTTTTTTTTTTTTATAGCTAACACAACAGCAGTTAGTAAGAGTCGTCACAGCACAAGGTATGCAGTTACAAGGCATTACACCTACATTTTTTGCTGTACCTAATGGTTTTCCTCCAGCTGCATCTCCAGTAATTAGACATACTCCCTCTAGTCCTGCACCTTGTAAGTGTTTATAATATACTTGAAAATTTGTTTAAATATAAAAGAGTTAAAAAATATTTATATTAAAATTATTTATTTTTTAATATAGCTGCTAATTCAGGGACTGGTAATTCCATAGTGATTCAAAATGCAATGGTACAAAGCCCTCAGCCACAAATTTCACAAGTAGGTTCAGGTTCCAATACTGGTAACACTCCATGTACGCAAGCTGTTGTTGAGCAAACTTTATTACCACCTCCTAAGAAAAAAGCAAAGAAGAAAAAGAAAGCAAAACGGAAAGATGATGAACCACCAAGACTGGATCTTGCTAGTATAATGAAAATATCAGGAATTGGAGATGATGATGATATTTTTGATACTGATCTTACAACTGAATCAGATGTTTCTTGTCAAGTTCAAGTTGAATCAAGTTCGGGACAAAACCTGGGACAACTTTCATCCCAAGTACCTACAATACCTACCAGTTCTGCTCAGAATTTGATACAAGTACCTGCACCAAATACAACGAACACACAAACGTCTGCATCTCAGACATTTAATAGCCAACTTGTTGCCCAACTTCAGATGCCTGTGCAGAATGTACAAGGGCAATTACGATTTGCTCTTGGAGAAGATGGAAGAGTTGTTTTACACCGTACTCCAGAACTAAATCAGCCTGAAATGGATCAAGCTACTGCTCAAGCACTGATACGATCATTAACACAAGGTGGTGGACAAAATTCACCAATTATTTCTCATCTTCTTGGACAAGCACAAACGACGACACAATCTACACAAAGTACTGTGCTACAGAGACAAAAATTCGTTAAATCACCTTTATCATCCAGTGTTTCAGCAGTTACTACTACTGTAAGTTCTGCAGCTCCACAAAGTGTTACTTGTGCTACTAGTCCACAGCATGTGCAAGTATGCTCGAAATCAAACAATCAACAGAAAAGTGTAAATGTTCCTCAAGAATCCAGTCCTGTGTTAAATGTTTGTGTTCAAAACAATCTTGTATCTCTACAAACATTGGATATGCAAGCATCGAAAAATATTAATGTACAAAATCTCACACCAACAACAAAAGCTAATCAGTCATCTAATTCTAGCCTTCCACAACCAAACAGTAATGTTCTAACTTCTGATGTTTTAGCAACAAAACCTTCGTGTACTACATTCAGTGTACAAAATTCTCGATTGACTAATACAAGTCAAACGACTACTAATCAACAAAATTCTAATGTTTCTGCACAGAAATCTAGTCAAGTGCGACTTACAAATGCTTGTGTTAGTACTAACGTGCGACAAAATTTAAATAAAATATCTCAGAGTGCTGCTCATGTTCAAAAATCCTTACCAAATAATTTAACTGTACAAAATGAACACACAGTGACAAAAAGTAATCAAAGTCATCAGCAGGAATCAATAACACTGCAACAAGAAACACCAATATATCAGCATAATCAACATCAGCAAATAACAGCACAGACTGTACAAACGCAGAATGTCCAACAAGTTTTTGAACAAAATCTTCAAACTTCTGGATCAAATGCTCAACATAATTCTTTAAACATGTTACAACAACAAAGTTCTTGCAATACCGCAATGCAGCATGATGCTATGAATGTTTTGCAACAACATTCTAGTATTCAACAAAATACAATTAATGTTTTACAGCAAAATGCATCTAGTAATGTACAAAACATCGAACAAAATTTGCAGTCTGCCATTGGTGATTTAACTCATGCACAGCAAAATGTTATTACGAGTATGCAACAACAAAATACATCTGCTATTTTGCATAATACAAGTGTACAACAAAATGTAAATGTACAGCAACAAAATGTAAATGTACAACAACAAAACGTTAATGTACAACAACAAAAAGTTGTTGCAGCAAACACATTTTCTTCTGTGAATACGCATCATTTTGAATCCCAGAATACAGTTAATGCTATACAACAAGGACTAAATACACAGCAAAATAATCAACATCAAAATATTCTGATTACAAATGCTCCACCTCCCAATGCTATGCAGCAAAATGAATCTCAGAAAGTAGAAACCCAAACTGCAACAATGCTTAATTCAACAACAAATAATATATTAAATAATGCACCAAAAATTACTCCTGAAATTTTAAATGCATTAAGTAATTTAAATCCTAATGAACAATTATTAATTGCAAATGCAAACGGACAAATGCAATTGATCAGTCAACAGTTGTTGCAACAATTTTTAGCAGGACAATTAAATGCAACTAATCAGGTACAAAATCAAAACCAAACTCAGAAAATAGTGATCGGTGAGCCAGATGCAAATAATCAGAATTTACAAGGTGTACAAATCAATACTCCAACGAGTCAAATAATTGTAAATAGTTCTGGTGGAGCTCCTACAATTCAAAATAATATACAGAATATTGTAGTACAAGCTGCTCCTTCGCAAATGCCACAACATATACAAATTCAAAATTCTAGTTTTCCTAGTCAATTTATTGACAATCTAAATCAACAGCAAATCAGAAATTTAGGTAACAACCAGCCAAAGAAGACAAAAATTATTAAAAGAACAAAAACTGCTGTTACTACTCAAAATTCTGGAAATACCCAGGTATGTGTAGGTTTTTTCCATTTTTCTATTCAGTCTCCTTTTTGTTGTTAATTTAATATAATAACAGGTGACAAAAACAATTACGGTTCCCCGCCCGACAATGATTTCAACAAATACAACTAATCTTCAGAAAGTTGATAATTCTAACAAAATAAACACTGTAGTGTCTCAAAGTACAAATCCAATTAAGAGTGAATCTTCTCAAATTATTACAAATGGTCCTGTACTTCCATCTTCTCCTGGAAATCATTTATCAGTTCCTTCAAATGGTCAAATGGTTCAAAGAGTACAGACTATTCAACTTACTGCTCAAAAACAGCAATTATTAAAAAATATACAATCTCAAATACAAGTTATATTAACTCGTAAACCGGGTTCACAACCAGATCAAACTGTTTTAACAAAGTTATATCAAGACCAAGCAAAAATTGTGGCAAGTGGAAAGGTTGTCGGTACTTCAACACATCACGTTAGTAGTGTAAGTCTTGTTATATTATTAATACAAGAAGCAAAAAGTTTGTAGTAACTTATAATGTAAAAAGTGTAAAGTAATGTAAAAAGAATGTATAATGCTATGCAATTTTATTTTATATAGGGTACAGAAACGGGTTTTAGTATGAATGCAGTTTCAACAATGGCACCAAATATAATATCCCAGAATTCGTATAAAAATCAGACATCAGCTGTACAAACTCAAACACAACCATCTACTACTGTGGTAACTTCACAAAGCTTGAATCCAAGTACATCTTCGACGGTACAGAATAATTCATCTAACAGTTATATGAATAACCTTTCGGTATATAATAATTTTTTATATCATAATTGAATTTTCATTTATGTTTTTATTGATGACTTATTGGTGAAATTTACAGATATCACAAAATGTGCAAGGACAACAATGTGTACAACAAAATAATCAAAATGTACACCAAACGCACACAAAACAGCACAAGATTTATCAAAATCATGGAAATCAGATATTGAGTCCGTCCTCTGCCAATATGCAAATTTTCTCACCACCAATTACCTCTGTAGCTACTGTACAGAGTAACGCACAACAATCACCTTCAGTCCAAACACAACAAATGGGAATGCAACAATCAACCCAATGTCAAACAGACCCATTAGACATAAAACCAAATATACAAATGTCAAGTCCTGTTAAACAAGAACTTTCTTCACCTATTCAAATACAAGTTCAAAGTGGATCACCTGCAGGACAGGTGGCCTCACCTAGAGTGATTGGCAAAGGACCACAAAGAATTCAAAGTCCTGTAAATACCAGTGGTAATCCCAATAAACAAACCGTTAGTCCCAACAACAATTCAAGTCCTTTAGTAAGTCCAAGACAAGGTATAAAAAGACCTGCATCCAGTCCAATTTGCAGACAAATTAATCGTAGTGATTTGTAAGTATAATCTTTTATTTTAATATAATGATACGCATACGAATATATCTTTATTTTTATATTTACAGATTAGAGCAACAATTGAAAATTGATCAAAACGGTGCGATAAATCCAGATGTAAACACTCCATTTTTGAGTAAGCGTGATGCTTGTAAACGTCTTGTACGGTATCATTGTTTAAATGAGCAAGTACTTAGTTCTAAGGACTTGGCAAAAGCTGATGAGATGTTTGAAGAAACAGCCAAACATTTACTATCAAAATTCAATTCTATGATGAACAAGTACACGTATCTTCTTCTGATGGAGAGTATGGTATGTTAAAAATATGTAATTTTATTCTTAAAATTTTAATAATCACTTAATTTAAACTTACAGCGAGAAGTGAGGACGTCGGAATTGATGATGATTGATAGAACTTTTGTTGCTGAAGAACAAAGTATATTAAATAGGTTACGAGAACAAGAGGCTAAAGTTAATGGTAAAGTTAACATATTAATGAATAAATTTCTTCTGTTATGTTATTTATTATAATAATCTTTTTCTTGTATTTATTTTATAGAAGAGTTCAAAAAAGAAGAGAAGCCATTAGTGCCAAAGGTTGAACCTGGTCTTACAGAAGAAGAGAAATTATCACCAACATTAACTAATGTATCTGTAAAACGTGAGTTAGAAGATGACTTTCTAAGTGATGAAATGGAATGTAAACCAATGCTTAAATCAACAAATTGCACTAGTGGTGATTATGATGAGTGGGTAGAAATACAAAAAGAACTTGGTGTATATCCATCTACCACAGACTCGTTTAAATGTAAAAATATAAATAATAGTGGTAGTAATAGTGCATGTGCTGTGGCTGTTACAAGGTCATCAAAAACTGAAAGAACACGAGCAAATGGTGAATGTCGTACTACTGTACCAAGTACGAGTATTTCTGGAGTTCAAAATGCAGTAATAAAGGACAATTGTGAACAGGATAGTACTCCAGATTTTGAAAAACGTTGGAATAGTGCTACTGATCTCGAGCGAGATTTGTTAGAAGATACAGACAGCCTAGATGGACTGGCCTTACATTCTCAAACTCAATGTCCAGGCTCTCTTCAAGTAACAACCGAAAGTGGAAATGGTAATGAACATGATGACATTACCGCACAGGTACAATCTGCCATTGATAGCATTCTTAATCTTAAAAAACGTCCTACAAATACATTATCTGGCAGTAGTGGTAACAGTGCATCACAATCCAGTGAATCAAAGGACACAGTGCTTGACCAAGCAGTCCGCAGCATTTTAGGCTCGTGACCCTCCTTTAATAAAGTATGTTAAACAAGTGAAGTTAATGGTGAACATCATGCTAATTGTTCGTTTAAAAAATTTTTAAGAACTAGACATTTTTTTGGTGATTTTTTTGTGGTTATGTGAATAATATAAAAACTATGTTTGATATTAAGAATGCGACATTATCTTTGGCAATGCATATTTGAAATCCTGCAAATTGTTGCTAAGTTATTTGTACAAATCCTACAATTTTAATTTCATTTATACATAAATTAAAACGACTATCTGGATTATCCAATTTTGTATACTTCTCCAAAATTTGTCAAAAATTTTTGTCTGCAATGGCAATAACTACTCATAATATAAAAACAAGTATACTTTCCAGTAGTTTAGCTGTAATAAAGCCATCGCGTTTACCTAAATTTAGCAGCTGTACATGTGGATAGATAGACAAATAGATTAATAGCTAGATAGTAAAATAAATAGTTAATTCGCTCAGATTTTTCAATCTGCCACTTTGTAATGTAATTTTGTAAAAAGTAATTATTTAAAACAACTTATTCCACTTTGTCCGTAGTACTTGTAGAAAAATCTTACAGATACTTAAAACTGGGTCGGTAAATTGTACATACATTTTTAATGTGTATTAATATTATTATTATTATTATTATTGGTATTATTTGTATTATTGTTATTGAGATTCACATTCTCAGAATTATAATTGTATTATTATTATTATTATGATTATTATTATTATTATTATCATTATAATTGTCATTAATATTATTATCATTATCATTACTATTATCATTATTATTATTATTATATTATTATTACAATTATTATTGTCAATACCATCAACTACATTGATGAAGAGAATGTATGGTATAAAGAGAAAGTAGTGATTTAAGAGACTGAAATGGAAGACAATGAAAACAAAAGGCAAATGATATATAAGGTGAAAAGGGAACACAAAAATTTCTATGATAATTTGAATTTATTTCTATTTAATGTATATGCAGTCTTAAATGTTACAATGCAAAATCAAACAGATAGACATTTTTTAAGTAGATATAGTATTTTACAAGTTTTTTGTCATCACATGAAATCACAATAGATCTGAGTAAATGAGTACATGTGTAGAGAGCACATGTGTGGAAAAAGGGTAATTACATGTTGGTGACATTTTAAATAAACAGTAGATGACCGGTGAATAAGATTTAAAAAACAAATCTTTCTATATGTGCCTTTTTATTTTCTACATAGTTGATGACTAATATATCTTATATGTACACCTGACTTGTAATTTTTATTCGATCAATGCTAACATGTTACATAATGCAGATTTCTTAATCAGTATGTTATACATACAAGATTATGGTCTGATTTAATCATTTTCTGAAGATCATACATTAAAAGAATAACTTATTATCACCAGCAGTGCTTTTGCAACAAAGATTTAGTTACATGGTTGTATTTTTACATCCTTTTCCCACAAAACTTCATGATAGCTCTCTATACACAGAGGCAATGAAATGTTTTTGGCAAAAGCAATCCAAGACTGACATATATACAGAGAATCAAGCAAAACTATGTAATGTATTACAATAAGAAATAATCATTTGTACATAATATCAATTACACTCTCGACGGCAATCGTGACTTAATGAATTCTTCAAAGATTTTAAAATTTGGATATGCTATAGTTCTTTTGATCCTAATAAATTGCCGATATTTCACAAGTATGTGTATGAAAATATTTTTATCCTTGTCTATAATTAAAATTTCAGTTTGCAGCAGAATATTCAATTTCTAATACTAAAAAGCTTACACAGTAATGTGAGATGCCTGACGAGAGTGAAGTCAAGTGGTTAATATGATAAAATGTAATTAGCATTATCAATTACATGATTTTGAATATCATGAATATCTTGTAGTGAACAATTCCTCTCCTAATATTATGGAAATATTGATTTCAATCACAAGTTTAGGTGCCTTTTAAGATAATGTTCAGTCAACTTTTTTATCTTGTCAGGATTATATAGTATTTTAATAGAGGCACATAAAATTTATATTAAATTACATGTTTTTTACGTGTATTTATATTCTAATATATCCCACAGATGACAAAATTAGTTCGAATTGTATTACAGTACACACTATTTAGTTTCTAACATGTCTCAAATTAATGCTTTCTACTTGTAGATGTATATTATCAAAATTATTTCAGACTATTTTAATGGATATCTTAAAGTATTTAATTATTAGTCATGTAAAATTGTTGAATTAATAGAAATGAAATAACATCAATTGGATATATGAAAATATTACCAAATTTAATTATAAAACTTAATATAATATTTCAATTCATAGAACTTCAGTAACATTGACATTTAATTTTTAGTGAGTTGCAATTTTATTGAAAATATATCATTTCTTTATTTATAAAGGATATATAAAAAAAACTTTACAGGTAAGTTAAATTAAAAATATATATTATAAAATTAAAACCATAATAAAACATCAAAAAAGTATTTAATAAATAATTTGAATAATTAAAAAATTAGACGTATGCAAGAATTGTTGTAAAGAGCTTCAAATTTATAATTATCTTTGTGAATATTATTACATTTTAAGTATGTAATGTATACAGTATACATAGGTGAATATAATCTATACAGATTTTTCATGTTGTATAAGCGTACGAGATTTAAGTACTAACAATAGGTGTGAATACATGTGTATGCAATACGTTCATAGATTTATGGTATATGTAAATGTATTTGTTTGTAAACAATTTTTATTATGTACAATTTAGTGTATTAGTATATGAAATGATATAATTTCAGAAATAACTAATAGAAATATAGAAGACAAAATGAACGATACTAGTAAAGATGATTCTTACGAGGTAGCAAAATGTGGTAAATGGATTAATGAGCGTAATTTAAATAAGGTTTGAGTCTTTTATTTCTATGATAGTTGTCTTATTAATTAGAAATATATGATATGTAATATAATTTTAATAAAATATTTAACTTTCTTCTATATTTCCAATAGGCTAAAAACACGATTTTGAGGTTAGATGTATCTGTCATTATATTGACATATACTATAATATTTCATGAATATATTTACAATTGAAAGCAGTCAAGTTCATAATTATAAATACATACTACAAATATCAGTCTGATAACTGTTCTATATTTCTAGGTCTGCCTACAATTCCCTGATAACCTTTTACCAGATTCAGTAGAAATTGCATTACGTTTGGAAAACTGTATCAACAAGAAAGTATATATTTTGGGAGATACTTCTTATGGTAGTTGTTGTGTTGATGAAATAGCTGCTCAGCATATTAATGCTGATAGCATAATACATTTTGGTCACGCTTGTCTAAATCCAACTACTCGTTTACCTGTGTTTCATGTGTTACCCAAACAAGAAATTGATATATCAGAACTTATTAGTAAATTTAAATTAAATTTTGTGGATCAGACTGAAAAAATTTTATTTTTTTATGATATTGCTTATGCACATAAAATTGGTAAGTTTCTTAAATCTAAAAAAATGTTTATTTAATGTATTCAATTACTTTTACAAATATATTTCTATTTCAGAAAAGATATATAAAATATTAAATGCTGTTTATAAGAATTTAATCTTTACTTCATTAAACTGTATCTCTAATGTAGAATTCACAGATGTCAAAGATGATGCATCTACGATAATCTTAGGTAGATGTTTTAAATTAGATAAGGAATCTAAAATAGAAGATTATATAGCATTTTTCTTGGGAAATGGTGGAAACACATTTACTAGATTAGCAATGACAATCTCTGCAAAAAAATGGTACTATTTTGAAAATAATAGCGTTGTTGAATATGAAATTTTAAACACACCATGGTTAAAAAGAAGAAGATTTGTAGTTGAGAAATTAAAAGATGCTAGAGTTGTTGGTATAGTTGTGGCTACTCTAGGTATTAAAGATTATCTTAAAATAATAACAATGGTTAAAAACATCATAAAAGAAAAAAAGAAAAAATCTTATATTTTAAGTGTTGGTAAAATAAATCCAACAAAACTTGCTAATTTTCCTGAGGTATGTTGAATAATGTTACTTGAAGTATTAAATACATTGCTAATATGGGTAACAATGTATTTTATCTTTCCAGATCGATGCTTTTGTTGTAATAACATGCCCCGAAAATGAAATATTTGATTCTAGAGAATTCTTAAAGCCACTATTAATGCCTTATGAAGTAGAATTGGCATTTAATAGTTCAAGGGAATGTTATACACAATATTGTATGGATTTTAGACAAATACTTCCTGGAGGAGTGAATTATGTTGATTTTAAGCCATCAACAGATTCAGATGTTTCTTTAATTACTGGTGAACTTAGAAACTGTGATGAAAATATTCCATGTACAGACAAGATGAATGCTCTAGCAATTAATAATTCATCAGGTATTTATATGTTTTAAAAGATATCAACAAATTACAATAAAGCATATTTTGTTTAATACCATTATTTTAATGGATTTAGATGTTGTTGCAATTGGGAAAGCAGGAGCAGAATTTTTATATAATAGATCGTGGAAAGGGGTTGAACAAAGATTAGGCAAAGATGCAGTACATTCAGCAGAAATTGGCCGCTGTGGATTACCAAGTTGCTATGAAAACGAGCCGATTTTCAGAGAAGATAATAATGAATGAACATAATAAATATAATAATTTCTATACTCTATTCTCTATATTCTATTATTTCAAGAGAAAGAATGTTGTTTAATTTCTCTAATCTTTACACAGAAGTGTTAGTGATATAATTAATCCTTTCACATACTTTATGTTTCCTATGCTTAACTATAACTGCATAAACTATAACTTCCTATGCTTAACCATGTATTTTGACAAACTGTTAATTAATTAAACGATAAATGTGTTTATTTTCGAAAAAATGCATTATGTCCTGTTTACAAAAAATCAGATAAGAAGTGTTTCTATTACTGACAATTGATTAAAAATACACTCGTTAATGCACTGATTAAGAATGACAAAAAGCATTCGTTCCTGAAAGAGTTAATTTTTTTTAATTTTACTGCGTTCTTTATTAATTTATCTGAAACAGTATTAAAAAATAACTTATAGTTTATATGAAACATTTTTTGTTAATTTACGTTTTATGAGTCTGTATAAATTTCCCTGTCAAAACCATAGACTTAGACAGATAGACTACGCATTCTTATATGCGATCTGAAGACCACATTGAAGGGCACAGATAGTACCGAAATCGCCGGGAAGCATCGCGCTCTCTTTCGCATTGTGCAAAAAGTGGGGAGAACAATAAAGGAGCGACCCGCCGTACACCGTCTACGACATAAGGTCTTCCTCTATTTTTTCCCTTTTCTTCCTCCATCAAAATATCCATTAAAGAGAGAAAGGAATAGTCACAATATTGCTCTCTCATTGCTGGGTTACCTTCTCTGCCTCTTACCGACAGTGTTACATTACGTCTTACGGAAATGCGTAGTATATCTGTATATGTCTATGATTGAAGTTGAAACACGTGTTCAATATATGACGTAAGCACATAACGAGATATTGAAATAATCTGAATCAGCTGTCATTGCAATGTTAAACATAACCAGAGAAATGTACATCTAAGTGACGAAAATA